AGTTTTGAGGGAATTGATGAGGGGTCGTTCACTTATGACGTCCATCAAAAACCTGATTTTTAGACCCCCCTCCCCCCCTCTGTCACAAAAATTCTATAGAAAAAAATTTCCACTGTTTGAACTGTCACAAATTCCTAAACCCCCTCCCCCCCCTAAATGTCGGACGTCATAAGTGAACGGCCCCTGAGAGCAACTTCTGATTTTGTGGATTAAGTTGGATTACAAACATAGAATGTTAAAAGGCTAATGCAGTCTGCAGGTGAACCATAGTTTTATTGATAAGTACTATACAAGAATATGTTCGAATATTGAAACACAAAACTATTTTTTAACGGATAGATCCTGTAATGTCATGAGGATTGTGCGGAATCCTTGTCATATCGACAACACTCTTTATAATTGTTGAGTAATCGGTCTCTTGTAGGAATTGAACCCACGCCCTCACAAATGTGTTACAGATATCCGACTAATCACTCACGCTGCAGCGGCCTATCTCTCGCATTGGCAGTTGCGACTTTATATGTCTTTATACCCCAGATTCCACTAAGCTTTGACACCACAAATACCTTAGTTTATAATAAACTTCTTCAGCAGTCAGTATGAACAGTTAATATTTCATCAGTAGCCGAAGTGGGAGAACGTTGGTCTCGCATATCAAAGTTCCTGAGTTCGATTCTTAGTTTGGTTTATTTTATAATTTTATTTCATTGAAATAAGCACGAAGATCGTTTCATGTGTTGAGAAAGGTAAAGACTTCGACATAAAATGTGTCACTTTTGCTAAAAAAGTAAGAATATACTTGTATCTTTATTCTAAGTAATGCTAATTGATGCTAATCGTAGAAACTAAGCGATAATATCCAAATGTATCATTGAATTGTGTATGAAATCGAGTTTCCAGACCTGGAAGTGATTCAGCGTACAAAAAAGGTCATGAAACACAAAATCAGGATAGAGTATTAATTTTAAAGCTGATCATCCTTTATACTATTATAAATATGACAATTAACTCAAGAATCACGTTGCTTACACTAAAAATTACCACAAAAGCATCAAATTAAAATTAGAATTAAGTTTTTAACAAAATTAACAAAGATTATAACGTACGACAAGTCTTTAAGATTCATCAAAGTCAAAATAACCATTTAGAAAATTTACCACCCCCTGGCTACTAGTCTGTCTGCTGAACCGATCGCCTAGCAAGGCTTAAAATGGTTAAAAACAACAAAAAAATTTTTTAAACTTCATAAAAAGCAAAAAAAAAAAAACAAAAGAAAGAGAAATTAAATTACATAAACATGATTTCGTCCTCAGGTGATGGAGTGCTGCTCGATTTCTCATGACATTCAATGAGCAAATCATGTATGAGCATAAACTTTCGATGATTTTATTTTTTATTCAACATTTTTTCTTCTCTTCATTCAGTGAGGGTAATCAAAAAACTTGACTGATAAAGAAGTAAATTGCTCTTGATCGTAGCCGATGTTTTTTTTTCTCTTCCAAAGATTTAGTGGAATAAATAACAATGGTGAGCTGACTACAAGAAAAAGAAAGAGTAACGAAAGAAATCATTTTCAATTGTCTTCCAAGTGCATTCATGTAAATTTTTTTTTATTTTGCAGCCTTCTTTTTCGTTTTCACACACTTGGGCGATATTTGTAGCGAAATTTTTTGAGAATTATGGCAGTCTTAGGTGCACTTTAATGGTTTCATTAGGTGTAGAGGTTGGATTTTTGACACATTGTCTAATTAAGGGGAAACTTGTCGTATTAGAAAAAAGAATTTTTTTTCAGATTTATCTTATTTTGGTATCTTTAAGCACGAGGGTACATCAAGTAGGTATGAATTTGGCTAAAGAACTTATTTAAGAGATTGGTTGTTAGAAACAAGATTGCATTTGGGAATTTGCAATTGATAGCTAGCGATAGAACTAGGTTTATAGATCTAATAGAGGTTATGAATGACAATTGATCTATAAAGCCGGTGAACTAAGCAGATATCTATCTAAAGCGATGCACCGAGCTCATATGAGCTCATATGGATGCTTAATTGCTGCTTTTACCTCCTTTGTGTCACTAAAATATAAAACTAGAACAACTTAATTCTAGAAATCTAGATTTTAGAAATGATTAAAAACTACCCTTAAAGCTACACTTGAAGTCATGCAACTACAAATCCAACGAAAAACTCTCTGTTCAATATGGTAAAGATTTTAAATGACAAAAACTCAAAAGCTCACGTCATCCAAATACCAATAAAATCATTAAAAAATCCAGCACGTTTAAATGTCAATTCCTAATCTCCTAATTCACTCATAATTTATATCATCGCTCTATTTTAACGACTTTTGATTGGATTTTCTTCTCTAAAAATGCGTCATTGTTATTTAAATTAACTGAAATTTTATTATGATGCAAAAGAAATATTTTGTGTATTATTGTTGTGCGATTCATTTACAACCGTTTGTTAAATAAAATAAAAATTCTGCCCACATGCATTATGGACTTTATTTTTATCAAAAAAAAAAAAAAAAATTCTTGGTCAATAAAAATAATTTTTTATTCAGATTTTTTTTGAAATTTTCCCCAAACAAGATGTATAATGCCATCATCAACCCCCCTTCATGAGTTCCAATATTTCTCATCAGCTCATCAATAGCTATGACTACACACACAATGTCTCATTTGGTATGTTGGCTGCATTCTCATGTCGAATTCTTGTTTCTGTTGTGTTTATACAGAATATGCCATCATGTATCATATAAAAGAAGCAGAAAAATAAAAATTTATATGACAAGACTCGAGCCTCCGCTATTTTGTGCGGCATTTACACATATTTTCATGGCGAGGTACAGGCACGGTCAACAGTATTCATACAGAAGGACTCGGATCGATGTCGATTTTGTGAGAACAAAAAAGAAAATATTGTCTTGATGAGCGGAGCGAGTGAGCAAGCAATGGCAAAGGCGATGGTAGAGCAAAAATATTTCATTTATTTCTTAAGGCAATGCAAGAAAGAATAATAAAAAAAAATTTTTGCTCTTCTCATTCGACATTTTTCCATCACTATGCGAATCAATATTTATGCTTTTAACAAAACAGCAACAGCAGCAGTCGAAGCAGAAGCAACAGCACTAACATGACAAAAAAAAAATTACGAAATTCTCTTTAAAAACAATAAAAAGCAAAAGAACCAAGCGACATATTTTGCTTATTATTATTATTGATACGCACTATATGCACACATATCAAAACCATCATCATTAATATCATCATCATCAAGTGTAGCAGCAGATCAGTTCAAAAAACAGAAGCATTGTCTCTACATACATACAAAAATTCGCGACAAATATCATCGCATGTATGATGTGTTCCTTTGAAATAAAACAACAAGAGAATATGAAATGTAAGAAAAGAATTTTTAAGCGCATTGAAAAGTTATGAAAATACCTGTTTTGTGTATGTTGAGCTTGTAGGCACAACAAATAGGTAGATGAGAAAGAGAGAGAACATGATGAGAGAGCATTTACGTTCCTACACATGTATAATATGTTTTAATACAACAAATTCCAATTCCTTTTGAACGATACCGTACTTATAATATTATTATTATAAGGTATAACACTGTAGGAGATTGTGAGACTGTATTTATAATTGAGAGTGAGAGAAATTCAATACACACGTAAAAAAATTGCATGCCTCTTTGTAGCTTTAGCTGAATTCATCACATTTTAGACTTTTCTTTAGTCTTAAAGTAAACTTGATCACGATTAGTCGACTTTTTTTTGTGTTCTGTGTGTTTCGACTTCTTCGATTACTACACCCGTACCTCTTTAAGATTGATTCATATTCGAGGTTTTTTATTTTTGTTATTTTTTTTTGTTAAAGACTTATGTAGATATATAAAATAAAAATAAAAAAAAATAAAGAAAAGACGATTTTTTTTTGGCTTATTTGAACAAGAGTTATAAAAAGCCAATCGGTTGACAATAAATTATCAAGTCATTTCTCGTCGGCGAAACTGAAAACTTGCAATGTGAAAATTAAAAAGATTTTTTTTTATGAATTTATGATGAATTAACATTTAATCTGAAGAAGTTTTAAACTTTTTATGATTTGACAATTTTACAAAAGTATTTAAATAATGTGAAAATAATGCTCAGTGAAGGAAAAAAAATCCTAAATGTTTTATTAAATCATAAATCAAAGATTCATAATTAAAGAATCAAAAAAAAATAAAAGAATTTAAAAACATTCAAAACAAAAGAAAAGAGGACAACAGATGAAAATAGAATCAATAATTTGATTGTAAATAGTTATCAGTTTTTTTGATAATAAAAATGCAAATTATTGTTCATCTAATGAAATTTTATTGTGAAAGAACTTGTTAATGAGATTTATGAAATTTCTATCAACTTCTCAGTGGACTTTATGAGATTTTGTTTGAGTGTTGAAAGCTTAGAAAAATATCGGTACATCTTTTTATCGTGTAAAAAGTGATAAAAGCCGTGAAATTTTCAGCCAAACAAAAAAAACTAGAAGATTTAATTGGTTTGTCGTAAAATCTTCTGACACACAATAAAATATAATAGATTATTGGAAATCCATAGTGACATTGTGAGAACTGTTTTTATTGTAAAACATTCGTAAAACAAACATATGCGCATAAATTCATTCACAAAATAATCATCCACAAAAAAAAGTGAAAAGTATTTAGTTCTGCGGACCATAAAAGGAAGTTACATCTAAATTTACCGTTTGACAGTGATGTACAGGAAATATTCATAAAATAAACAACATCACGCAATATTGATTATTACGAAAAATCGTGAAATTTTGCAAGATTTCAATTCTTTCAATTGATCACTTTGTAGCTTGTCTTAACATATTTAATAACGGTCAAAAAATATTCAAACTAGATTGTCAGATAAAAAATTATTCCCAAAAGTCATCATTTCATGCATGATTGTATCATCAACAAGACCTTTTATGAGACAAATTTTTATAAAGAAAGCAGAAAGAAAAATAATTTGCAATATAATAATAATAAATAATAAAACATCAGCAAATAATAATAAAATATTGTTATAAGGAAAAACCGCTACAAAGAAATGAAAAATCGTGAAACAAACATTTGAAAAAAGATAAAGAAAAGATTAGAAGAAGAAACATAAAACATAAAAAAATGTTCAAAATCACCGATAGACATTAAGGCAGTAAGGAAAACAAAAATAGTGCCCAATAGTACAAACTCGACTAAAGATTATTGGCAACAAGAAGAACAGAAAGAATTGCGCCGTGCATAAGATTAATAAAGATTTTGAAGGAATATAAAAAAAAAATCCTATACAATTGTATGTGCTCGTACTCGGTGAATTAAATGAGATATAAATTTATGGCAGTAAAGCAAAATATAAAAAAAAAAATAGAAAAAAAATTGTGAATTGAACTTGCCTTTTCAATTCCATTACAAAACGAACAAAAAAGAAGAAATTAATGACTTTGAAAATTATTATTTATTGTGAAATTTTGCGCTAACAAGAGACTGTGCTTAATGAGGTTTAGACATTTTGTGGTGATAAGGTTTGAGAAAAGTCAATAGAAGTTGTGGAAAATAGAGCAGATTAACTGTTAATTGGAGATATTTGCTAGTGTCAACATCTGTTGAATGTTTATTTGACTAATGCTAAAGAGATTACAGCTAATTTGACAAGAAAGTTGGAAATTTCATAGAAAGATAGCACTTAGGATTGAATAATCAAGTTAAGAAGATCATAAACTGTATTAAGGAAGCAACAAAATATTAATAACGATTGCAGGAAATAACTCGAAGCTATAAACAGTGAATTAGCATCGAATTGGAACGGATATAGTAAATTTTAGCGAATCTGACTTGGAAATTTGATCCGAAACTTAAGAATTTCAAAATATTTTGAAGATTTAAAACCAATTTGATCATCTCAGAGTTTAGAAATAAAAAATTCTGAATTCAAGATAGTTCAACTTAGAATCAAGCAATAAGGTTTCCTAAAATATCCACAGACAATACAAGAAGTCTGCAAACAACTCCAAACTCTTCTAATCTAACATTCAAAATTTCTCAAACAATCCTAGCAAATTCTGCATATCAAAAAGTCAATAAAATCGCTGCAGATGACGTTCAAATCAAATTAAAATCATTGAACAAAGAAAAACCAGCTTCAAATTTCCAATTAAATCAAAAAATAAACAGCAGATCAGAAACTTCATGCGAATAAAACAGCAACAAGAAAAAAAATCACGAAACTCATTGAATAGATGTGAAAAAGAAGGCAAAAAAAAATAAATAAAAAAAAAGTGAATAAAAAAAAATATTTTTGTGTGTGATGGCCTTAAGAAAGAGAGTGTTTTAAAAGAAGAAAAAAAAATCTACATGAAATAAAGAACCAGAAAGTGCCAAAGCACTAACCAGCAACAGAGTGAATACACAACACAAGAAAGAAAATAAAAAAAAAAACATGGATAATTTCTTAAACAATAAATTATTGAAATAATTTGTAAAACTTTACGTTTTTCTTCTTCATCCGCGCGTTTAGCTCTCCGTTCCGTAAGTTCGTCCATTCGTGTGACAAATAACGACGTGAAATGAAGCTAAAAAAAAGTATAATAAAATAATCAAATGTGAAAGAAAAAAAAATATATATATATAAAGTATAATATAATGTGGAATATAAGCGAGAGAAGATAAATAAAGAAATTTGAATATTTGAATTTATATATTTGAAAAGTGATTTTTTTTTTTGTTCATCTCGGACAACACACAAGAAATATAAATAAACACACAAAGTGGAAGAGTTAAAGGCAACAACAAGATATTTTCATATACATGAGGATGAGAAAATGAGAAGCAGATAGAAATAAAATATAAAATAAGTAAATAAAGTATAAGACAGAACAAAAACAAAAAGTGATTCATTTTTAATGATATTAATTTGTACCCCCGTAACGCCCCACAATCTATGTTAAAAAATTATGATTGCGAATGAAAAATGTCAAAAGTCTAGCGAAGTCGTGGATAATTGCAAAGTCGAAAAGTCAGTTGCAATTGATGATACAATGCTTTTAATTTTACGCAAAAAACGTCGAGCTTTCTACCAGCATACGTGCCTATTAAGTGTCATGGCCGCATTCACAATAGGATTAGCGATAGGCATCTTTTTCCTACCATTAATCGGATTAACATCAGCATCAAGTAAATCAACAGATGAAAATAATCATAATGTTGTCATAACAGCGGCACAACACAATCCTTTAAAGCATACGAAATTGCATAAATATGATTTTAATAAATTACAAAATAGAAATCAAATTGATTTCATAGAAAATAATAATAATATTAAGAATCCAGCAATTTATTCATCCGTGTCGTTTATATCAGATGATAATAGTGTTGATGATGAAAAATATTCCGGTGGACTGGAGACAGCAACAAATGAGTTTATTTTGAATAACAATGGCAAAGTAAATAACAATGATTATGCTATTGCCGGAGTTACAGTAAATGTTGATGATGAGATATCGCATGCTGTAATAGAAGAGAATTCCTCTTCATCTAACAGCAATAAAAATATGAATATTGAAATACAAAGTCATGAGCAGCAAGAAAATTCATATGAAAAGGAAAACAATGAAACATTGCGACGTATTATCGATGATGATATTTATTGGGGTCAAATGATTGAGAATCGTATACCAAATGGCTTTGCTAAACGTGATACAGAAGATTGGCAAAATTATTTGCATAATAATGTAACGGAAATAATAAAAATTGAGCAAGGATGTGGTCGTATGCAGAATCGTTTGGTTACATTTAGTGATGGTGTTAAAGCATGTGTACGATATCGTCAGAATACGGATCAAATTCAAGGTGAATTATTCAGTTTCTTTCTTGGACGAATGCTCAACATAACAAATTTGGTGCCGAGTGCTGCAGCCGTTATTGATTGGGAATCACGATTATGGACACAAGTGAAGCAACATATAACAGAATCACAATGGAAAACATCGCGTCCCGTTGTTTTCACAAAATGGATACCCGATCTAGAGCCGTCTGGTATACCGGAACAATTTCGTCCACTCGAAAGACACATGAATAAAAATGACATATGGAATATAACATTGAGTGATGGCGGAAAGCCATCACAAATATTGATTGAACGATTAAAGTCAAAATATAATGTTAATAATGATGATGGTAGTGACTATAGAAGGAAGTTGATGCGTAAAAAGAAAATTACATTAAATGATAAAATTTATGATAAACTCATCGAGCTCGCACAATGGTCGGATTTAATAATATTCGATTATCTCATCGCTAATCTTGACCGTGTTGTAAATAATTTATACAATTATCAATGGAATGCAGACATTATGGCCGCTCCAGCACACAATCTGGCAAAACAAATAAATTCACAGCTTTTAGTCTTCCTCGACAATGAATCGGGCTTATTGCATGGCTATCGGCTGTTGAAAAAATATGAGGCATATCATAGTCTTCTGTTGGACGATCTCTGCATATTCCGTAAGTCAACTATTGATGCATTAAAATATATACGTGACAATAATGCCGGTGAGCTTTTAAATGAGCTTTTCGAGCACACAACGACAAGTGAAGTGCGTGACGTACTTCCGCCTCTTCCTGAAAAGTCAATAAAAATTCTCACAGATCGTATTGATCATGTGCTACAGCAAGTGCAAAAATGTCAAGATATGTATTCGAATAGATAGAGCTAGGCTTAGAATTAAATTTTAGGTTTTTTATTTTATTGTAAATAATTTCAACCTCGTTTTTTGTTTGTTTTCGTTTCATCCGTTTTGGCCTCAAAATTATTCTTTTTTTTTTTTTTTTTGAGGGAGGGATCTATTGGGGTGGTAACCTTAGGCGTTGTATGCTTGTATTTGTTGAATACTCAAGAACATAAAATTTTTGATGTTGATTTTCATCTTTAATTTGATGAATTTACTGGTTTTTGGAGAAGATTTTGTCAATTTAAATATAAATAGCTTCATAAGTCATACTTTTTGGGTAACATATTAAAGTTATCTCAATTCAAGTTAACTTTTCATAAAATCAATCAAAATTTGACAGTTTTTTTAAAAGTGGCTGTAGTATTTTGATGAAAGTAAAGTAGGAGCATAGCAGCTGAGCAGCTTGCGAAGGGGTCATAAGATTTTATAAAGGCTCATTTATCAGAATAAGCTATGTTCTAGAAGCAACAAAGATAGATAAATGTTTTTTCAATTATTACTGTCAGTTATGTGCGGCACTCTTGAACAACCGTCTATTTACATTAAGTTGTAAAATCTAGAACCAATTTTCACTGTGTTCACTACCTTAGTTGCCAAAAAAATTAAAATGTCCACCCGAATAGCACAAGTCGGTAAATTGAATATACATATGACATAAAGCTAGCGTAACTCTAGCATGATACTGGATTCAATTTGAGTCAAGCACCATACAAGAGTCACGCCAGCTTGATGCTGGATTTCTATTAGATTAACCGATTTGTGATATTCGGTACAGTAAGTGTTGGAGCTAGAATCGTTTTCAAACTTTTGGTCAATTAACTTAACTACAATAAACCAAGATGTCATTTTTATAAGTCGTTCATAAATGAAATTGAACATCTAGACCAGTGTTCTTAAATTAAACTCCAGGAAGCTTTACTGATCCGAGTAAAACTTCTAGATGTGTCAATAGTGGTTGATTAAGACCTACTTTAGTCAATCGTTCTGTCAAGAAGTCTTAAAATATTTTTTGATATGGAAATTCATGAGATGTAGTCTCATTCTCCTTGACATTAAACTTAAACCCTCATAAATGAATGACCCTACAAAAGCTACCAAACTAAGCATCAACTACTCCTAAGTATACCACCTCAACACCCCCCAAACCCTCATCATTTTGACTGAAAATTTTTAAAAGATATGAAAAAAATTGTGATTTTTATTGGTTGAAAAAAAAATTATATTTGATAAATTAGTAACTGTACATATAGCAAACAAAAAAAGTGACAAAGAAAACAAAATTTACATAATGAGATGAAGAAATTTTTGAAATAAGTAATTAAAATTAGTAGCAAAAAAAAAAGATGAAGTGAAGCATAAAAATATTGTGTATGCATGTGAAAAAGAGAAAAATGAACTTATAATCATCATAAAATGAGTAAAGAATGAAAAAATGTAAGAAAGAGAGATAAAAACTTGAATGTTTAACGCACAACAAGAACCTTGGTACCAAATACTTGATAAAGTAAAAAAAATTATAAAAAAATCCAGTTTTCTTCTCTTCAAGCAGTAAAAGAGAGGAGAAAAGAAAAAAAAATTATATATAATGAAATGAAAGAGTTTAAAAAGTGCTTTTGCTTAGCTTCTTAATGAGTAGGACAAGACATTGCTACTTACTGACTTGCATACACACATTTACATAAAATAAAATTGTAGATATAGAAGAAAAAAAATTAATATTAAAGTAATAATAATCTCTAAATGATTGTAAATAGAGACATGTGACATGCCAAGATGAACGATCGATCGATGCTCAAGAACATAATAAATATTCAATACACAAGAAACAGAGATGGATGTATTAAAAAAAATTATGAAAATTTCTTCTTTTCTTTTACATAAACTTTTATTTTTTTTGGAACATGAATTGAAGGCATGAAAGAGCATGTTGGTGCATAATTATCAATATTTTTATTCATTCTCTCTCTTGCTTGCTTTTTTTTTTATTTATTGGAATTATTGAGGATTTATGATATTGACCGAGGAATTAATTCATGAAGAAAAAATGTTCTTCTTTTGCATTTCTTTCATTTTTGGATGACAAATTTTTTTACAAGCGGTAAAACTGCATTCATGCGAACGTGGGGAATGATGTAAATTTATACACCTTTGAAATTTGACTTCTGTTTTGGGTTTTTTCTTGTCGGATGATTCTTGATTTGTTGAAGTTGATTTTTTGTGTGAGGTGATAAATGAAGTTAAATTCAATTAAATGATGATCAATTGAATTTGTTGTACCAGAGTTGTTGATTTTCATCTTGATCGGCAAATTGTTAAATAATGTCTTATGGGAATTGAATGGATTGTGAATTGGGGCTATTTTTGATTAGATGCAAATTGATTCTAATGATAAATATGAATTTACATTGGGTTTTAAAGTGATCAGTTACCTGATCGGCACACATTAAAATTTATTGAAATGTTTGCCACCCAACACCGGGTTGATAGTATAATTATAACCATTGGCAATGCCAGCCACGTGGCAACCACTTGACATCCAGTTGGAAGTTGCTGCCACTTGGTACTAATTATACTATTGCCGGATAGCAAACATTTCAATGTGTGCCGATCGGGTTACATTTTGATACTTCATTTTGAATAATTATAATAAATTTCAAATCTTAGAAATTAAAATACAATCTTTAAACTTTCAAGAAACTAATCTAATTCATTTTATAAAAAGAACGTCAATAAAACACATAAAAACAAATTCTGAATCCGCATCACAATTTAAATAGTTCTTGAAACAACATCAATGATAGCAAAAAAAAATCATCAAATCTAGACAAAATTCATTTATTTTATTTAACCATAAGCAAAACTAGATCATGATCTATAAAATTATGATTACCACGAATGGCTAGTAGCTTAAACTTTCATGAGCTTATTTAATTTTCCAACTTATTAAAAGCTGTATTAAAATCTAAATTGCATTAGTCAAAGGCAACTCCCGACGTGAATTGAAGGTTTATTTTTAAGTGGTTGGCAAACTTTTATGGTCTGTGACAAAGATTTGCACTTAATAAGTTAATGCTAAATACTAGAGACTCAGTTAAAACTTACAAAAATACAATATTTCAACTTATTATTCAACAATTTTATAGATTTTGGGAAAAAAAACTGAGTTTTCAAAAATTTTTTAGAATATTTCTGACTTTATAATATGTATCGCAACACACAGCTTGCCCACCTCAGCTTTAAACATTCTAATAGAAGCAAATTTTATTAATCAGGTGTATAACTCAATCTATAATTAGATAAAACAAATACTTTACTAATACTTTTTATCGCTTAATCCAAATCAAAGTATTTTATATCCTACATGCTGTTCAGTTTGCTATTTCTTGTCAATAATTTGCCTTAATAGACACTTTGATATCTAGTTTGTAATGAATCTAATTGAGTTGTGAAACTTTGTAAGCATTTTATTCAGAAAACTTAAGGTTGTGTTTGATTTTATCTTGTAGAAGTCAAGCGGATTTTGTAGTTTTAGTTTGTAGCTTTGTTGAGGCATACAATCAAGTCTCATAGGTTCTCAGATTTTATTTTTGAGTAACAAAATGAAGCTTCAATACACTCATAGAAAAAAAGTAACAAAATGTTTGTAACTTGTATGGAAAATGTTAACAAACAATTCGTTAAAATAGTGTTTACGAACTTATTTGTTAAATTTAACCAAATTATTTGTAAGGTTGAATTGTTAACTATAAAAATTGTTAATTTAACAAACTTTTTGTTAAATTTTTTTTTACAGAAAAAAAAAACAAATTTTCGGTTAATATTAACCAGAAAATTGTTAATTTGGTCACCCATCTTATTTTAAAATGTTTTCGTGGTTGCTTAACTTCTAAATTCCTGTTGATGATCCGCTAGTCCGCTGCTTGTAAACTTTTAATAATAAAAAGATGATTCAGAACCAATATAAATAATTCTTTAAAAAATATATCCAAATTTTAAAATTAATTAATGAATAATAAAATAGAAATGTAGGAATTAAAAAAATGAACAAATTTAATTTTTAAATTACGATTTGGTTTGTAAATCATTATTTTCCAAAACAAATTACAAATAAAAACATTGTAACAAATGTTTTGTTAAAATTAACAAATTAATTTGTTAAACAAAATCAACAAAATTCAATTTAAAACAGTTTTCTTGTTAAAAATAACGCAATAAATTAATGGGAATCATTTGAAATTAATCAAACAAGAGTTTTGAATACAAGAATTAAAATTTAATTAAATCAATTATCAACAAATAAATTTGTTGATTTAACAAACTCAATTGTAAAATTTTTAACCAATAGTTTGGTTGAAATTTTTTTTACCCATGCAAACTTAACCAATAATTTGTTAAACTAGTTTAACAAACAAATAACAAATATTATGGTTACTTTTTTTCTATGAGTGTATTAAAATGATCCAGAAAACCTTCAAAATCTCAAAGTCTTAACAAAATGAAAATAATCAGTTCCAATACGCAAAAATTTAACCTTCCCAATAGCTCATCAAATCTCAACTCCTAGTTAAATTCATCTTAAGAAATCTCAATGCTTATTGCATTCTTAATGTTCATTTCACGAGTCAATCTTTAAAGTTCTCAACAAAATTGCACTTTGAAACCCATTTTTAAAAAATTTACCAGCGACCACAACCTTTTTCCAGAGAAATTTTAAGACTCTGATCAATAATTAAGCTGATTGATGTGTTTATGAATCTTTTTTTGTATATTTATGAAAATCAGCATTTCTACACGACATTTCCATTAATTTTTTTGTTGCGATTCAAATCGCTCAAAGGACTTCAGCTTCAGTTTCCAGAGAAGCTTTCATGAAAATGCAATAAAATAAATTGCCAACAATTGAAGAAATGTGAATAAAAATTCCTACATTAATCATTTGAAATGAAATAAATAGGTTTTCGGATACAATGTTGAAAATT